TTAGTGCCACAAGTCCTGAAGTAAAGAGTTATTGGGGCCAATGGAATAGCCTGACTCTGAAAGACAACCTGTTGTATAGGACCCTTGAAAGTGAAGATGGCACCGAATCGACGCTGCAATTAGTAGTACCTAGAAGCAAAGTGTCGGAAGTATTGCGAAAATTGCATGACGGCGCTTCCGGAGGACACTTTGGTATTACGAAAACGTTGCAAAGGGTACGTGAGCGATTCTATTGGGTCAACCGTAAAGAAGATGTCCGGCGATGGTGTCAAAAATGCGAGTTATGTGCTACTGGAAACGGACCAGTTTCCAAGAAGAAGGCACCCATGAGGCAGTATAACGTTGGTAGTCCGATGGAACGAGTTGCTATCGATATCGCAGGACCGTTTCCCGAGACAGATGGCGGAAATAAATATATCCTAGTGGCTATGGATTATTTCACAAAGTGGACTGAAGCTTACGCCATTCCAAACCAAGAGGCAGCAACAGTTGCAGAAGTGTTGGTAAAGGAGTTCTTTACACGTTTTGGTGTTCCTATAGAAATCCATTCAGACCAAGGAAGGAACTTTGAATCGGCTTTGTTCCAAGATGTTTGTCGATTGGTAGGAGCCAATAAAACCAGAACAACACCTTTGCATCCTCAGTCAGATGGAATGGTGGAGAGAATGAATCGAACGATGGGTAAATATCTTTCAAAAGTCGTGGCAGAACATCAGAAAAATTGGGACCAGTACCTCCACTGTTCCTTATGGCATATCGATCAGCCGTCAACGAGACCACGGGTCAGACTCCTGCCTGCCTTATGTTGGGTCGTGAACTACGCCTTCCATGTGATCTCGAGTTTGGGCGTAAACCCCATGAAGAATATGTCGCAGGTGAAAATTATGTTGACCAACTAAAGGCCAAGATGAACGATATTCACGACTTGGCTAGAAGTCATATTCAGATTGCCAGCGATCGCATGAAAAATCAATACAACCTCCGCTCGGTCAATGAAACTTTTGAAGCTGGAGAGCTGGTATGGCTGCACAATCCACAGAGACGAAGGGGTCTTTCTCCCAAGCTACAAAGACAATGGGAAGGTCCGTATGAGGTGATCAAGAAAATAAATGACGTGATATATCGTATCAGAATGAACCACCGAAAACCGAAAGTTGTCCACATTAATCGACTCGCACGATATGCCGGATCCAACAACAACGAAGAAGTTACAGGTATTCGAGAAGAGGAACGCAGCTTTGGGATCAAGCCAAACTTTAACGATTTTATGTCAAATTACGCCCAGCGGAAGAAAGCTCGATTTGGCGTTACTCAGTAAATTTGTCAAAATATTTTTGAGCTTCCGGTTAACGTTTCCATCGCCCATTGTGTCGCCGAAGACCTTCGCATGGGTAGAGGTATAGCTTCCGTATTCCGGAAAAGATTTGGAAGAATAGACGAGTTGATAAAGCAAAGACCACGAGTGGGTAAAGTACTGCGCTTGGAAGATAGTCAACGCTCTTTGTTCTACTTGATGGTTTCAAAGAAAACGTCAGAAGGCAAACCCACCTATGAAAACCTCTGGTCTGCTTTAAAAAACTTGAAGAAACTCATGGCATACTATGACATAAATAGCTTGGCGATCCCGAAGATTGGATGTGGTTTAGATGGGTTGGACTGGAAGATAGTGCGAACCATGATCGAAGTGATTTTTAGAAACACTAGCGTTCGAATTACAGTATGCTGCTTCAACCCACAGGGACGACCCTCCGCAAAACTGTGGACTGTTACTTTTTCAAGAAAGGTGTTTGTCGAGCAGGCTCTGACTGCAGATTCCGACACGAGGCATTAAAAAGTAATACTAACGCAGTTTCTGAACGAGACGTCCAGAATTAAGAAGGGGGCAGTGTAACGGAAATGCTCCAGAATTCTCTGGAATTTTCTACGCGTATTCGAGAATGTACTGGACTTACATTGCTTGCGTGTATAAATGGTTGCGGACCGAACATCGCGGCAGTCTACTACGGAACGAGTACGTATGAAACATCGAGCGCGAAAATCTGAAATAAATTGCGAAGTGTGTGTGATATAATAATCGATATAAATTGTACGGTTTTTATAGTGTTTTAGTTTTGTTTAATAAATATTGATATAAATCGAACCCGAATTTATAAATAACGTTACATTATTATTATTATTTTTTTTTTTTTTTGGACAGATGGGGAAATGCATTACGCACACTCCAGATGGAGGTCTGGAGTAGTGTGGGACTCTCCCATTATTTGGGCATACCCACTAAAACCCCACCTGAGGCTTCGGCTTCTAAGGCCATTTGCCGATCTATCTCCTACTTATAGCAGCTAAGATATCACAGTTTTAAGATGCATACCTACTAGTTACATATATATCACAGATTTTCAGCTCAAACGTACAGTCACAGGACATATTACAAACATTTTATCACAGTTTACTTATCACATTTATGGTGCTTAGAAATCGCAGTACTTCTGAGCATTTATGTACAGTGCTAAAATTTTCTTCCCATATGTCACTTATTTGATAGAAGTTACGCGCATCTTGGTATTCTGGACAAACACAAACTATATGTTCCGGTGTTAGGTTTACATCACACCTTACGCAATGAGGACGATCTTCACCGGCCAACAAAAAACCATGTGTCAAGGCAGTATGGCCAAGCCGGAGCCTATATAGTTTTATCAAAGCGGAACGATTCGTATTAATAAGAAACAGTGGTCCTAGGCTGGGCTTGACCCTCTTCAAGAATGTGTCAGATGTCCTCCACTGGTCACTCCAACGGTCATTTATTTGAGCTTTTACAAGCCTGCCTCGAACTATTTTAGACAAATCTGCAAAATTTGCTTCATGGAGTTCTAAGTGTCTCAGTTCTTCTCTAGCTCATTCTCCTATCGTTCTACATCTATTTAGACGAGCATTTGTGATCTCATTTGTAAGCAAGTGATGGTTCGGGTGACTGTTATCTAGTGAGACTTTAAGATAATAGTTTACCAGAATCTGCTTTCGGCGAAGAGTTAAAGGAAGAATGTTTGCTTCCACGTGAAGTGAGGCGACAGGAGTTGTTGGGTATGCTCCAAGAGAATACCTTATTGCAAGGTTCTGGATTTTATCTAGTGCTCCTAATAAAGTGTTGTTACCGCATGTGAGGTAGGCAGGGCTACCATAATCAATTTTTGATAGAATCAATGCTCTATATATGTTAAGTAGAGTCTTAGCATACGCACCCCATTTATTATGAGCTAAAACCCTGATTATGTTCAGCAACCTCCTACTTGTGGTAACAATGTTTTGCAGGTGTATTATTATTATACATATATACAAACGACGTACAGACAAACACTAATCGTTACTTGATTTTAATCCGTGCGATTAGTTAACCAGGCTAGACCTGAGTTCTCACAAGAAATACCGACCATAATAATAATAATAATAATAATATGAGTGTGTGAATTTTTATTTTTATTATATTTATTTTATTTTTTTAGGACCCTACATAACTTCACCAGACACAGACACAGACACTGATCGTTACTTGATTTTAATCCGTGCGATTAGTTAACCAGGCTAGACCTGAGTTCTCACAAGAAACACCGACCATAATAATAGTTTATTGCCATGAATAAATTCCTTTACATTGGCATTGTCATGAATGTAGAATATGTAGAAAAAAAGACAAACTAAAAACATAAAAAGGACAAACGTTATACATTGAGGAAAATAAGTTATTATTGTATTCTATCTGAAAGGCCCTTTTCTTAAGAACTCCCGACTGTCTTGAATTAGATTGAACATGAAATTGCTACATTTTCTAATTACAAATAAAGATCACAATTTATCATTCAATTTCTAGCGCACTCATACAACTCGCACACATTTCCTTGCGTCGATTATTCTTTAAAACAGCCTTACTATTTGTAGAATAATTACACTAACCACAAATTAAACAATTAGGTAGGTACCTATTTTTCGATGTGTCGTGCTTTAATAACTAATGATTTAAGTTTTTTTCCTGTTTGTGACATACCTAATCGCACAAACTGCGCGTATCATCCTTGAATGTGGCATGTTTTAAGATATGTCGCTATTTAAGTTAGGCTTATCGTCAGTAGGTATTTATAGGCACTGATCATTCATTTTGAGAAGACCGTGTGTTAATACGTAACACTTTAAGCGAACGCTATTTTAATTGTAGCATAATTACACTGATAACAGCTGAAGTTATTCAAAGCGAAGTGTGTCAAAGAATGACGTAGGTACCTATAATACACTCACAGAGGATAGATGCTTGAACAGTTGGTTGGGATAATTACGTCACGCGCGCCGATTAGCGTTTAATATCATGTGACAAATGGGGTTTTTCTCTAATTTTATTTTTATTAAAATATAATAGTTTCTCATGTAAATTAACAAATAATGTTATTTTGCGGAATCCTGGCACCTTACTCTATTTCATGAAACAGAAATGTATTTATTCTTTTTCCACTGTCATGTACCCTTTCTTTCTTGTGTAGGCCACTACTGCCAATGCCAAATCAACTAATTACTTGACGTCGCTCAAAATACTACGAAATTGTAAAGGTGTCTGAGGCAGTAATAGTGCACATTTTTGTATGTGCGCTTTTGAATGCACATACATAAATAAACGCGACCAAAAAACGTCCATCTGTAGCAGCCCATAGACAATTAGCCTATAACCCATATGTAACCATCTTTAGAAATATATTTTGTGGGAAATTCATCAGTTATGATCACCTAGTATATTTTAGAAGAAATAAATACCCCTGAGGAATATGCAACTCATAATACGCTGTTGCAATAGTGATATTTCTGCGCATCAAATCTGTTTATTTTCCTGTTTATAAATATTCAAACCTTTATTAAACGCATCATAATTTTGACTTTTATTTAATGTATATTAAATTTAAAATTCTAGTGAGGAATATCGTTAGGTAGATTTGCCACTGGGAGCGCTTCCTTGGCTGCTGCGCACACCCACGTAGTAGGTTGGCAGAGAACAACTGTCAACGTATGTAAATGTCATCCACCCCCTTCAATATCTTTCCTTTGCAATAATAATTTAAAGTACAGATTAAAATGAGCACTAAAAGTGAAAAAGATAAAAGTAAACAAATACAAGAAAAGTGTCAGTCAGTAATAAACGCGTTATTAAAAGACGAGGACAACAAATACTGCGTGGATTGTGATTCAAAAGGTGATTGATTTTTACATTTCTTTAAACAATTCGTCACCCCTTTTTCTTATTTATATTTTCTTTGTAGGTCCGAGATGGGCGTCATGGAATTTGGGTGTATTTCTATGTATACGTTGTGCCGGAATTCACAGAAATCTAGGAGTCCATATTTCAAAAGTGAAATCGGTTAATTTAGATTCATGGACACCCGAGCAGGTTGTTTCGTTACAACAAATGGGAAATTCTCGAGCGAGAGCCGTCTATGAAGCTAATTTGCCCGACAATTTTCGAAGACCTCAAACTGATTCAAGCCTAGAATCGTTTATACGGGCAAAATACGAACATAAAAAGTACATTGCTCGCGAATGGGTGCCTCCACCACTACCGAAAGTGAATTGGGAAAAAGAGATTGATGAAGAAATTGAGAGACAAAAACGAAAAAAGAAAACTTCTTTAGAAAAGAAACAATCAAACATGGTTGAAGTACCTCAGTTACCCAAACCAAAAGCTGTGAGTCCTAAACCAACACGTCAATCAAACGCCAACACTGAATCTAAAGATTCGGACATATTTAGTTTGCAGAATGGAGAAGACTCCTTTAGTGGATTTGTTTCTGCCGCAACTAATGAAGAACCTAAAAAACCAGAAGCTGACACTTTGAAAAGCGAAGAGGAAAGCTTCTTCAACCAAACAGCACCTTCAGAGAAAGAAAGAGCAAAGTTGACTAAAGATAATATTTTGGCTTTGTATGGTAATGCGCCATCTCTTAATAATTTTCCTTCAACCTATCAAAATCAAACAAATTTTGGTAATAATCCAAATTTTCAGAATTATACAGGGTATCAGCAAACACCAGTACAACCACAGAACAGTTTACAGCAATTTCCGGGTAACAATCAGTTTCCTGGGCCAATGTATCAATCACCACGTGGGCAGTTCATATCCAATAGCCAATTTACAACTGCTCCTTTACAACCCCAACCAAATATGCAATTCGCGTCATTGCCTAATAATTTTTATTCACAGAATGGTGCACAATTTTATCCTAATTCTAACAATACACAGCCTCAAAGAGTTCCTATTAATCAATTTCCATCACATAATCCTGGATTTGTCCCACAAAATTCTGTAGCAAATCCCTTTTTTAATAATCAAGGAATAAGTATGCAACAACAATTTTCAAGCCTTTCACTTAATAACAAAACAGGTAATTCAGGTACAACTGTAGCTACAAATATATGGCAGTAAACTAAATTTGCGCTCTTAAATAGTTGATATTATATGCTAGCTGTGTCCAGTTTTGTTTGGCATAATAAGGAACTGAGTTGTTCAAAAATCTTATTTGCAAACTTGGTGTGTACAAGTGACTATGAAATTGTAACTTGAACTTTTTTGTTATAGATGGGTGTTGCAATTAGTGTAAATTTACAAAATTTTGTAGTTAGCTTAATAAATTTCTTAAACTGTTTAGCATTATGGTTTTTAGTTATTTCTAAGATAAAATCTATACATTTAGAGCAGATCTCTTCATCTTATAGGTTAATGAAAACACCACCGCTAAATTATTTACTTTTCATAGTTAAGGATTAATTTTTTAAATAAATTTAAATGTGGCATGCAATTTAGAATCATCTACTGTATTTTATCTATAGAATGAGTTAGCTGGTACTGATTGAAAATAGGCAACATAGGTGAATTAAATGTACATCTGAAGTAAACAAAAAGTAATTGTATTTTATCATATTGTGCGCTTTATTTTGATAAAAATATGTAAATTATATGCGTAACCTCAGTGTATCATCTGCCAATGTTGGCAGTAAGTAAGTGATACTTCAATATAATCTATTTCAAAATGTTTTACCTGGTTAATGAATTTATTTGAAAAATTCTATAAGGTACCAGATTTTGTTAAAATAAGAACAAAATTGCATTTTTCTTTATTCTTGCATTTATTAAAAAATAAACATTATGCAGTAAATTATCTCTCTTGATAATGTGGCACTCTGAAGAACTACCTACTTCCCAAGGGATAAGTACTAGAGTAAATGTAACGTTTCATCTTACGAAAAAACGTTACATAAACTTTTTCAAGCCCATTCAGAGTTTGTTGATTCTTTGCAATTCGCATAAAAGTGGTATTTTGGCAAAAGCTGTTCATTTTTTTATGTAGTAATGAGAATTAAACAATTTATAATTCATAATACAAGTTCATTGTAGAATAGACAAAATTGACTATTTATGTTATTTATAGAGCAGGTATACAGTTTTAAGCATTTATTGTGGGTTATAATGATTTCTTTGTTTATTTGCTGTAGATTATGTGCAAAAATTTGACTACATTTGTAAATAATGCTAACGGATAATCTACAACCATGAACAATATTACACAAAACTCGTTTCTTGCTCTGCTACTTTATAGACCAAATATCAATATCAACAAATAAGATTTTTTTTTGGAAATTTATTTGAAATATACAACAAAGATTACCTTTAAATAAATACATTTCTGATCAATCTCGTAAAATGAGATGTGTTGTAACTACTTTCCACACTCGACCTGGCAATTGCTAAATCTTGAAGACCTGAAGTTTTCCTGGTGAGAATATCAATATGCAAAACATTTACCTATTACAATTCACAATTATAACAAACACTTGAAATAATCTGTAATCAGCAAAGGACTGTCTGAGAAGCAATGGGGTGAATAAACGTGATCTTATTTTACTATATACGTCTCCGTTTGATTCCAGAATTTCCTACAGAAATAGGACTAGACTTTCCACTGTTATTTCCATCGTCAGGTTTTAAACTCCCTCTAGTTGACCTTTTAGCAGATCTCCCTCTTTCCTCACCTTTCAATTTTCCACTTTTTGACGTCTCATCCTTAGACATAGAAGTACTTCTACCTTTATTACTTTTTTGCGGTTTATCAGATTTTGATTCTTTTCGAGAAGATGAAGAACTTCTACTATCTTTACTATCTCTTCTTTGATGTACCTCTTTTACGCTACCAGTTGGGGTTCTGTCATCCCTCTTGAAATCTTTCACATTTTTAGATGGTTCGCACCCCTTCTGCACATTTTTTGTTTCTTCTACTTTCATTTCTATCAGTGTAGCAAAATCACAGTCGGGTAATTCAAAGTCGATATTGGAATTTGGAAAAGGTACGATGTCACTTTCATCTAATGCTTCCAGGTTATACATTGTTTCCAAATGCGACCATATTACCTTGCCCATGATTTCTTTGTCTACTTTTTCTTGAAATTTATCGAAAATTGCCAGCATTTGGAAAAATTTATTCACACCTAAAAAAACATTGAAACTTTCACATTTTACTGCCATAGGTACTACCTGTTGGTTTATGCCCTATCATAGACTCTAATAAACTACACTCATTTTGAACATTCCAATCAAATTCTTCCATTAATGTAATTTAATATTAAAATAAAAGTTTATAACCTCAATGTCCTTGATAACAAATATTTCTGCTCTTCCTGGTGGAAGTTCCCACACTTGCAGATGTGTTCCACACTGACTCCCTGTACTGCGCAAACGCAAGCGCGCTAAAATTTGAATTTGCCACCGTTTGTTTGGTTTATAATACCAGTTCCTGCTGACTTCCATATTACAAACCAAATGTCGCTGTATTTTCGGAAAGAATATGTTCTTCTTCTCGAATTAAAGCCTTCGGTCACTACTGTGAATTCCAGTTAAATACATTATAGCGCCAACTTGAAAGCAAACCTCTACTTTATCTATCAGTCATGATCCTTGTAGTCTGGTTTTTGTGATTCGTTCAGCACCGGACTCTCTCTTTACCATAGGTCATTACAGGGCCGTACGCAGGGGCACGCCAGGGCAGGCTGAGCCTGCCCTGAAAAGTTGTAAGCCTGCCCTAGCCAGATTTCCGAATTTCTCATTGGAGTTTACGAGTCTGCTAAAAATATATAATAACACAGAAAATTATTACTATTGACGATGTTGCGGTTATCAATTAAACGAACATATCTATGTATAACATGTTTTTTAAAACCTGCAACGCTGCAATGTCTATTGGTATAGAATTGCGATATATCAACATCTCAAATGGCCGAGGGTGTCTCGTGAAGTCGGTGGTTTATTACAAATATTTGGTGAAGCTTTGATCTTTTAGCGCATTTTCCAACGAAGGCAAACGTATCTCATATTGTAAACACTAGATGTGCGCATGCGCATTCTGTGCAGTCCCAACTTCATTATTTATGAAAATATTTCTTCGAAATTTTAACCATAGATGCTTCTAGTAAAGAAAAACATATCACATGTTGTAAAAATCGAAAACTACAAATGTCATTTACAAAGGCAAACTGCAAAATGACATTTTTTTTCTGATGAAAATCTCTGAAAAATTTTAACCATAGACGCTTCGATTAAAAACAAACATATCGCATATATTAAATGTGTGCATGCGCGAACTGCATATACGAGGACGATTGAGAAAAGTTAATCTGGTGATTAAAAATTTTTTTTTAATTTAAAAAAACCCAATGCAAAGTACTAAGTACTTTATTTTGTCGTATTTTTTTCAAGCATGATATTAAATATAAAACGTAGAGGATTGGGATTGCTTACCTTGGTAGAACAAGTGTTTAAAAATAAGTGACATTTGATACCTATTATCGTCTGTGCTGTTTGATGAGCACTAAATTGGTTTCAGGGTACATTTAATGTAGTAGTAGGTCAGTTTGAGAAATTTAGGTTTCATTTTAGATGATTATTGTAATTGTTTTTTAAAAAAATTGCCACGTGTGTTCACAAACGTAGTAAATTTTGAATTTTTTGTTAATTTAGGTCAGCCGAGTGGTTATTTGCAAAATAAAAATTTGAAAAAGTGCTTATGAAAATAAAGCCAGTATTTTTTTTAGTTATTGTGGCCTGTAAGTCATTTTCAGGGACAAATAACAGGGCGACAGTCTCGTTTATTTTTATATTTTTTATTTTATTTATTGCCCCTCTTGTTCTGGGCCCTCAACAGGCTTTCGCCCAAATGTCAAAATGTGGAACATTGCTTACATTTTAGATTTCAGTCTGGGGGCATATTCTCGATATCATTGGAACAAGTTTGTATACGCTTGTAACGCAATTTTGACGTAATCTTGAACCAGTGCCATAGTAATCACACGTTTATTCCAAAAATGGTATAAATGTATGCTTCTTTTGTCATCGTTCAGGAATAGGCCGCCTGTCCTGAATGTTTGTGAGCCTGTCCTGATTATACAGTCTGGCTACGGCCCTGTAGGTCAATGTTGGTCTGTAACGTTATTGCTGTAAGTAAATGTCATTAACTCTTTCTAATTAACTATTACAGTACTTACCGAAGCAGTTTCCTAATATCGCCTTTGGCATATTCTATGACCATGCACTCCAAATGTAGATAACAACAAAATTCATCTTGATAACATGGCATTTTCATATACCTACTACATATAATAGGTAAGCTAAATTATCTTCAATTATAACGTTTGGCGGTTATGTGTATATTATTTACCCCTTACACTTGACAGCTGTACACAAATTCAAATTTTAGCGCGCTTGCGTTTGCGCAGTACAGGGAGTCAGTGTGGAACACATCTGCAAGTAAGTTCCCACAGCCGCCACTTGATAGTCATCGACTTCGAATCGGTGTATCATTATTTATACAGTGCAACAATTCTACATTTATTACTAATATATACTCGACTATTTTTTATACATCATGCGAATAATTCACAGATTCAGACCATATAGAAAAGATATGATCTTTGCTTTGTATGTAGATATTAAGACACCACAGACTCGCGGCTTTTAAATTGAAAGTAAAAATCAGTGATGTTTCATTTAAAAAATCATAAACTAGAAGGTACCCCACATATAACAATACAATTCTGTAAGTAGGTACTTCCCGTCAATTTTCCACCGTCATGCCATGGAATGTCTGCTATAAAACAAATCAAATTCTATCAAAAAGTATTAGATATATTTAGAACAACAATTCAACATAAAGAAAGGCCAAATTACTAAAACCGGTTTCCTAATATAACAAATTACAATAACTGTTCGAATAAGTCACCATTAACTGCAGGACAGTACCCAAGTCGATCATAATAGTTATTTATGTATTAAGGGCATAATAGAAAATTCCATGGCATCGCAGATTATTGAAAAAGATGCGGGTTTTATTTTTCCAATTTTCCGTCTTTATATGAAAAAAATTGAAAACTAATACGGTTGATTGGCGTAAAAAATTTTTTTCTACAAAAAACTTTAATACATTTTTGCTCTAAAATAATTTGGGGAGCCAATAATTGCATGTTATGAATTTTATTGAAATCCCTACGATGCGTTACGCAAGTCACCACCCTGTATACGTCGCTGTAATAACCAAGTTTTGCATCATTTTCTTTTTTTTATATTTACTTTCCCGGTATCGTCCAACAGAATGACCACTACCGCCGCTATATTTTTTTTCGAGATAGTTGATACTGCCATGGCACCGCACGAATGAAAATCGTTCCCTAAACTACCAATTGCAACGACTGATTGATGTTCACATCGTTCATGTTTGTGGAACTACTAACCAATTGATTGCACAGATTGTTTGTCCAATCTGCAGTACAACTTGTCGTACGACAGGTTGCATAGTGTGTGGGCCTAAGCCCAGTGAGTGCGTTTATATCTGGCACCGAAAGCTGGGACACAGAGGCAGCGATGCTATATGAGTTCAGGGATTTTGAGGTGTGTATTAATAATAATAATAATATTAAATGCCTTTATTTCATTACCTTGCATAAATATATAAATTAAAATAAGCTGAAAATGTAAAACAAAAATTTTAATTATAGTATATTAAGTATGGAGAACGGTAAGGGATTTTTACCGTTCGAAGACAATTGTTTGGAGGAGGAGCGAAGCGACGACTCCAATTATTGTCTGAGAACGGTAACCCTTAACGTTCGACGTGCTTATAACATTTTTTGCGCGATCGAAATTAAATTTATGCAACCAATATAAATATTCACTATAGTTATTAACGTCATAAGGCCGATATGTAGCAAATAACGGACGTGGTTGAAGTTTGTAAACCGAGGCGTCAGCCGAGGTTTATATTCAACCCAGTCCGTTATTTGCGTATCGGCCGTGTGTCGTTCAAGATTTTTCGTCATCCCATCATCTGGAAATTATATATTTTGACTTCCATAAAGATCCATCTTTTCGTAATAGTTAAATATAATAATTATCTTGATCATGGTATGCTTATGGTCACATGTTAGCGGTTGTCATGGACGCAACTACTTAAAAGTAAACAATTCATTAAAAACGCGTGCTGAGAAGCTGTATGACGTTTTTCCAAAAATATGCGCGAAATTGAAGGAAATATCAATATTCCTCCAGACGTATTAGCAGATTCCATGGCTGCAAGTGTCGATTTGCTACCAGAAAAAAGAGGGAGCGATATCATAAAGAATATGAAGATTTCAAGTAATGGCTTAAGATTATTAAGAGGATCCATTTAGTAAATGAAGACATGTTATTAGCGTACGTAAAGGGAAAATCGGAAATGTAATCGCCCAATTCATAATGGACCAAAGTTTCGAAGCGATTAAAAATCACCAAACAACTATTTCAAAGTTCCGATGAAAACGCTAAAATTACAACATCCATAGCCACAGGATCCTTCATAAAGTGTAATATTCACAGGTGCTATGGTCCTCAAGTTTCCTACGATGGTCTACAGATTTCTAGCAATAACTGTCACTTTAATTTTCATATCCATTATAATAAGTAGTTATATTTCTATAAAGCATTGTTCCTTAACGGCCGCATATGCGTCCGTTATTTTTTAACGGACGCCGTCCGTTACGAATGACATTTCACTTGTCAAATGAGTTGAGTTAAATTGAAATAACAGTATGGGATGACGAAAAGAAATTAACGAGCAGAATAAATCGAAATGATCGAAGTGGTATGGTGTATATCACTAGGTAACCAGTTTATTTGTCAAAATTGAAGTTAATAATTTCATAAAAATGTGCATGTGTCTGATGTAGTTTACTAGCTTTGAACTTCCTTTATGACTTTATGAGCGTCTTGCTATAGGAAACAACAGCACAAATTGTACGTTTAATGCATGATACTATAATAATCAGATATGCTCATGCGCACGCGAGCGCATCTATAATGACGTCACTGGGTGACAAACGAATTACTGGTAACATGATAATAGTATCATGCCATAATGACAGCTTGACAGTAGCGATTTGCGTGTCGTTCTATTTGAAAGTAAGCGACATGGTGTATTGTGCGGTGATGAGTTGTACAAATAATTCCAACAGAAACAGCTATACTTTTAATTTAAATTGTCGGTATTTTCGTTTTCCTAGACTGACACATATTTGTGATGAATGGGTGCGTGTTTGCAACAAAAAACGTAAATTTAAAGTCGAAAATTCTAGAATTTGTTCTGAACATTTTGTGGAAAGTGATTATCGTTTAAAAGAAAAGCTACAAAATTACCCACGGCATTTATGGTGTTTAAAAAATGATGCCATTCCTTCTGTAAATTTACCAAAATTAAATGAAAGTGAAGATGAAAGCTTGGATACATGCAAGTATCAGGATGAACGGTCTCAAGACTCGTCTCAAGATCAAATAGCTTCAGAAAGTAAGATTTCTACAATGGAAGAAAGGTAATGAAATTCTTGCTCTA